CTAGGGAAAGGAACACTTCCTGCAAGAAGGAGAGCACCAACACAGAAACGAGAAGAGCCATGTTTATCCCATGTCCTCTTGTCTCTCTCTCTATCTCCAAAGCCTCATGTTGCTCGTAGAGTCTGCAGACACCATTAATTGACAGTAGAGGCTGCAACCTGGGCGTGCGTCTGAATAGGAAAGAGAAAAAATCTCTCACCTCACCCAGGGACGTAGTCTGCAGTGTGCATACGACGAAACAGTGTGATAAGTAACCCTAATAATAACCCTGCTCTGCCCCCACGGCCTTGCAGTGAAGACAGCCCAAAGCACATGCTTCAGAGGAGACATGTCCCACATCAATGCAACCCCAGCACATTGACCTTTTCAAGAAATAACAACAGGGGAGAGTGGATAATGGAAAGAAGATGATCAGAGAAATTAATTGCCAAACTGAAATTACCTGGATGGAAATTTCCTTGTGCTGCTTCCCCTGGAGGAGGAGAACTCCCAGTTCCCTGACCGGACCCCATATTAAAAAGGACATTTTCCGCTGGAGAGTTTCCTTCCCCCTCACACTTTGACTCCTGACTTTTCCTTGCCTCACAATCCCTCATCACCACTGTCCATAATGTTCAACTTTTACACTGTCCCATCTCACCCAGCAGAACTCACCCTCACTGCCTCCCTTGGCCTCCAACCCCAGAGCAGCTCACCTCTCATCCCTCAGGCCTTCCTACACCTAGGCAGCAAGTGTTGGAGTTCTTCTCTGGAGCGAGAGGGCTGGGAGCCCTTGTCCTAGGTAGCAGGCGATATTCTTATCACACTTCAAGCTGAAAGCCCCTATTGTGAATGTGAAAATCTCGTGTTACTAACATTATGAAATTTGTGGTGGTGGTGTAGCCGTGTTGGTCCCAGGATACGAGAGAGACAAAGTGGGTGAGGGAATATCTTTTACTGGACCAACTTCTGTTGGTGAACGAAACAACTTTCGAGCTAAACAAAGCTTTGCATAGCTCAAAAGCTTGTCTCCTTCAGCAACAGAAGATGGTCCAATAAAAGCTATTACCTCACCCACCTTGTCTCTAACATTATGAGGAACCGCTACCGTAAATGAGAGTGATGCAGAGGGCAGAGGCAGGGGAGTCTGATGGATTGAAAAGAGGAGGGGAAAGTGCGATGGGGGAGAGGAGCTGGAACTGGCAGCAGCACCCCGATATGACTCATTTACATTTTCTTGATCGCCTCAGGGCAGCGGGATGGTGAAGATGAGGCCACTATAGGCAAGTGCAGCTGTGGTGGCAGTGTCCATCGGTGAACCAGGCCGCACCGACTGAGTGTGCAGGGTTGGATGGGAGATGAGGGGTCATGGATGGCAGTGAGTTTAATGGGGACAGAGCAGCCATTCCTGATTGAGCAGAAGGGGGTGAAGGAGGGAAGGGGGGACTAGGGACGAGGCAGTCAATTCACAGAAGAGGAGGTGAATCAATGTTAGATAATGAATTCATTACTTAGAGAGACAAATAAAAATGGCAGTTAAATCAGTTAATGAATCGATAATTAATTATCAGGTAGACAATTAAAGCTGCCGAATAAGCGTGATGGGCCAACTAGCAGGGCAATGGGTGGGCAATAGGGAAGGCGGCCGGATGGGCGGAGGCAGTGCTGCAGGAGGGTCTGTGGCCAGTTACCAAGGAGCAGGTCAGCCAGCTGAGGCGAGACATCAGCAGCAGTCTGTGGAAGTAGAAAAGGCTGCTGAGGTCTCCTCCCCAGCACTGCTGGTGAGAGGGGCTGGACTCCCCAGAGCAGGGGACAGGCCAGAGGGGTGACAGCTATGCAAGGAGACAAATTACTGGAATTCGAGCACGACGCTGGCACAAGCAGCCCTGCTCTTACCAAAACTGCCATGGGGTCTTTAATACATCGGCGCTCAGAGCCTCGATTTGACATCTCATCTGAAATACAGCACCTGTCCCAGCTCAGTGTTTGCTGATGCCACGCTGGGTCCTTGCATTCAGTGCTGACTGACTGGGACCCATGTCACTTTTTGAGTCCCCAACACCCCTTCCTTGAAGCCCCTTGAGTTTCCCCTGGGGAGCAAGGCTTAATTTGTCGTGAAAGAGGTGCCGGGGCTCCAGCAATTTTTTTTACATTCATAACTGACGCAGCAAGCCCAGAGGTGCCGGGGCTATGAACTGCCAAGCCCAGAGGCGCCGAAGCAATGAACTGCCGAGCCCAGAGGCGCCGAAGCAATGAACTGCCGAGCCCAGAGGCAATGGGGCTATGAACTGCCGAGCCCAGAGGCGCCAGGGCTATGAACTGCCGAGCCCAGAGGCGCCGGGGCTATGAACTGCCGAGCCCAGAGGCGCCGGGGCTATGAACTGCCGAGCCCAGAGGCGCCGGGGCTATGAACTGCC